AAAATACTTTGGTGTTTTCTCTGTATTCATACAGAGAACACGTTCGTTTGTCAAGTGCCTCTTGCAGGGTGCTGTGGGTGTGTGTATTTTCTTGTTTGTCGAGAGAGGGGTGTTGTATATCACTGGCATTTTACTATTCAGGTCTCAGTCGAGTTTTATGAGGGGGGCTCAGCAATTAAAGATATTTGAAATAAGTTATTATTCAGAGTTCTGCGTAAAGAGGGAGCAAAGCAGACAATAGTGACAAAATACGCCATGATAATTTACTGTTAGAAATTGTTTTTTTATTTTGTTTTAGACACAGATCAATATACATATTTGCACACGTGAGTGAAAGTTGAAGTTGTACTGTGTTACAGACAGAGCTAATCCATCTATACCTGCAAATGTCGTGTTTGGGCCATTTGCAGGGTTGATATTATGAGCCAAGTCCCACGATGTCGGCGTACGGTAAGACAGCAAGCCACCGCGCCCTACCACCCGGGATCTCCAGTGAATGACATATTGTATTGAATTAAATTTTACCATCAAAACTGGTATTATTCCATAACACCTTTCTATAGCATCTTCCATCGTCCTAATACTCACATTAAGCTCATTCCTTGTGGCCGCTGCAGCTGCAGGATGCTACTGTTGACCCTTTCAGTGAGTGAGTGAGTTTGGTTTTACACCGCTTTAAGCAATATTCCAGCAATATCACGGAAGTCTTTTTTTTTAAGTCTCCCACTAAATAAAAAAAAAGATTATGAAGGAATTAAATAAACAAAACACAACTAAAACAGTTGTTAGTTCTAAAAATGCTCTGACTGAAAACTTGTCATGAATGTTTGTGTTATTAGAGTGAAGGTGCAGTGTTTATTGAACATTATTTTACCTTTTGAACATTAATTTATATTTGATAAATTCATAATAAATCACTTCGTTTGCGCTAAACAGTGAAATGAATTAATTTTGTTTCTGTGATGATTAGGGGGTGACCGGGGGGACTATGTCATCTGTTGATGGCTCTTGTTTACTGGGATCTCCCCCATCAATCTTGTATCGTCACATACAGATAAGAGCTTCGAATGAGAGCAACAACACCGTCTCTATAATCGTAAGAAATTACCACGCATTGTCCTAAACCTTTAGGGGGGGGGGGGGCACGGGTGGCCCACGTGGCCCAATCGTCTGAGGCGCCGCGACTCGCTGTGCAGAGTTGCGTCCCTTGGGCACGCCAGAAACCTATGATTGTGGGTTCGAATCCCAGTTCGCCCCGATTAGGTTTCTAGGTTTGTCAGCACCATACCCGTGCTTGTGGGTTTCACTGAAGTCGTAAACGTTTGAGACCTGCATCACTTCGGGCTTTCCTCCCACATTAAGCTGACACGCCGCGATGTAACTGGAATACTGTTAAAAGCGCCGTTAAACCCAACTCACTCACTCACTCACCTAAACCTTAGACGACATCTAGATATGACTATGGCTACCGGGTTGATAGCGACATTTGTTTAAATGCCCCGTGGATAAAAGAACAAAGTGTTCCCTTAAAGTTAGTCGTCTGAGATAGTGGTGTACAAGTTGAAAAATGAAATGATTTGACAGAATAGAATTTTGTTCTTTCTGAGATTGCAAAACTTCAAGCAAATCCTTTGCGTTTTTTTAGAATCCACATGATATTAATTCCACTTGTCTCAACAACTTTTGTGAATATAAGGAAGTCCTTCCTTGACTGTATTCTGGGTTGTGGGGGTAGAGACTAGTAGACCCGTGAAGATCCGGGATAGAATAGGTCTTCAGCAACCCATGCTTGTCGTAAGAGGCAACTAACGGGATGGGGTGGTCAGGCTCGCTGACTTGGTTGAAGCATGTCATTGCGTGGGTCGATGCTCATGATATCAATCACTGGATTGTTTGGTCCAGACTCTATCATTTACAGACCGTCTTCATGTAGTTGGAATATTGCTGAGTGCGGCGTAAAACAACAAACCAAACAAACAAAGACTGCATGGCCGATGTCAAACATGTCCCGAGGAAAAGCTGACTCAACTGAAGTCTACCAGATACAATGTCATGTTGCTGGCGATTTCCGCTAATATTTTCAGAAAGCACTATTTCAACAAAATTAAGGATTACACGTTTTGTTATTCCTGCCTTAAATTGCTCGTTGGTTGCGAGTGATGGAGCATGGTTTTACGCCGCTTTTAGCAATATTTCAGCAATAGCACGGCGGGAGACACCACAAATGGGCTTCACACATTGTACCCATGTGGGAATCGAACCCGGGTCTTCGGCGTGACGAGCGAACGCTGTTACCACTAGGCTACCCGACCGCCCTCGTTGGTTTGGAATAAAGGGTAAACGACTGTTAACACTTCAACCTTTACTCTACCCTTAATCTGACGCGACGTGATGCAACTGCGACATCAGCTGACTCACTGGAAACACAGGGGCGGAGCTTGGAGTTATCTAAATCGGAAAAGGGGGGGGGGGGGGGGGGTACAAAAAAACATATATGGGACTTCAGTGTGTACTTTGATGCGTAATGTGTCTGAAAAACAAACAGAAGCAGCTTGCTCCACACTCCGATAAGGACCTTTATGATGCACCGGGTTTAGTGATGTAACGATTTATTTGTGGAGATTATGTAAGTAATATTGACTCAATTTGCCAATGATTTTCAAAACAATTGGACTGCCTCCATTAATACGCGTGTTTTAACACACTGTATTACTGCTAGTGCCAGACAAACACTAACAGGTGACACCTGTAATCTTGACCAGAGGAGATGGGTTGACTGTCCACTCAGACACTTAGATAACCGACATCTTTTCTCAAGCAATCAGGCCCGGTTTGCTCGCAAAGAGCACTATTCGTGTTTACAATCAATATTATCATAGAAGGCGGGGCTTAAATGGGCACCCACTGTGATTGGTTAAGAAATTCGTGACGTATGAAATAGGTCAAGTAATGTAAATATCGGCGGAGAGGCCCCAACGGAATATTCAGATCATCACGTGTTATTCTCGCCGAGCTTCCGTCGCTAAGGGTCGTATGCCAGTTTTATCTTGTTAGAAACGGTTGGAGACGGAATACAGTACAGACGAATGAAGAAAACAACGACCATCTTGTATATGGAGTTTTACCCCAGGGACGATATACGCTATCAGCTTCAACTATATTATGATGGGTTCTCATTCCGCGAGAAGATCTATTCAGAATCTCGCTCACATGCTAGAACACTACTCTCACTACAACCCATCACCGCTGTCAATCAAAAAGTTCATTGATTTTGGTACGTAGCAATATTGTTCTCCTATAAAATTATGACATTAGTTACTGACCGTGTTGTTATTTAGAATACTGTGTGCTGTTTTCACAACATTCCGGTTCATATATAAGATGCACCTTCCTTTGTTGTGAGATATATTTTTGTTTTCAAACTATGGGTCTTGTTTGGCTCAAAATGACACATTTTTACAATTCTACGCTCTGTTCGGATTCTATTTTTTCCCGTGTCCGCGGGGTATTTAACTCATGATACTGATTTTGTCGAGGTGTAGTCAGTGACAGGAAGTCCGACGACTCGAGCTGGAACAAAACAGTTTAATGGTTTTGGCCTGAAAGGTTAAATGTCATGTCGAATGTAGATGGTTTTAACACCTCTTGATCGTGGATGTAGAACATAGAGCATCATGACATACAATGAAGTACCATTATATACGCATATCCCGACATCCAAACAATAACCCCTCCCCACACTGTGTCACCTATGCCATTAGACTTAGTTCGTGCATAAACACACATACACACAAACCTAGCCTAACATTTAGTCTATAAAATCTTATATTACACAATATCCTTCTTGACCCTAAACAAAAATTATTATAAAAATCCCTATGCTGTGGAATAGAGCTAGCTAGAGCTAATATATATATATATATATATATATATATATATATATATATATGTATATATATATATATATATATATATTCCACAGTCATGGTGCAGGACTAACACAAACCACACCATACATCTTGCTCCAGACTGTCAAATTGAGATGTTTACGTGAGCTAGAGGTGTGTCTAAATGGACCAATCATGATCAATCTATTCGAGTTATTTTTCCATTACCATAAGCAGTGATTGCGTCAGTCCGAACTCGCTAGGAGGAAAATTACCAAATAAATGTGGAAATGATAACACAAAAGCTGGTTTTGAAATTGATTACGAAAATAAGCTAAATTTGTTGTTTTGTGCTTTAAATTATAGTATTCGATATTTTTACAAATTGTCAAAAAGCTCAGACATTGGTTGATAATGGTATTATCTTGGCTTCTTATGTGCATGGGTATTAAGGTGAATGTGAGGTTATCAATCGTCAAGGGCGATATTTGGCTGTATCAACCACAAAGAAGGGTGACCCTTACTTGACCCCAGATCAGCTGTTAACGTTTATCGCCCCTGACAGAAATTTTCCCCGATAGAGGGCAAAGTCCATGTGTGTATCCTAACAACGTATTGCGTATCACATTTCTCGAACAGGCTTCAGTTGAAAGGGAAACGAAGAACGAAAGATAAATATTCAAAACATTTCTGCGACACGTATCGTTCCCATTTCCGACGTTGGCCTACATTATGAAACTTGACATATTGAATAACACTTGTAATCAAAGTTATTTCGAAAACGAAATCAGTACCACACTTTCACCTGATATATATTAATTTTATCTGTCACATAACATGTGAAGTATTTGTTCGAAAATAGTCTCATGTTTTTCAACTCCTTCCACTTTACCAAGATTTATAAATTATCGATACATCGATCGTGTTTTACAAAATATTCGTTCCTTCAAAAGGCATTATCTATTAATGCCTAATCGACATAATGTATCACATATTATTTCAGTCAGAGACCATATGTGCACTGCGTCATTATGAAATAAATATGGACGTGAAACGAAAGAAATTGTTTCCCTCCTTCAATCATTAAGTTAGTTGTATGACGGATAGCATCCAAACTAAAAACACCGTGAACTGGGTCAAAGTCTACATGACTGCTTGCATGTGTCACAGCGGTTGTTTGTTTACAGGAAATTCGGTCACCGAGATGCAAATAGAGTCTTCGAGTTTGCACTCTTTGTTCATAGGCAGTCCGTTGCTTTCCAATAACGTCAGGGTCAAAGTCTGACTTCACCAACCCTACGGGCTCGATCGGAAAGATTTATCAATGTTTGTTTTGATTTCCAGTCGAGTGATTTACGCTCAGAAACACTTTGGAGGGACTTATTTCCACTGAATTATACACTGTTTTTTCTCAGAGATGAAGTTATCACGCAAATTTATGTCCCATATAATATCTGGACTGCGGTGGGCATCTTTTGAAAAGTATGCCACTTTCAACCCATCACCACTTTCATTGAAACAACTATTGGAGTTCGGTAAGCAAACTAAGCATGAGCAATCAGAAAGTAACGTTTCACCATCTTATTTGATGTCAGTACTCCCACTTGTAATTGTTAACTTAAATAGATTATGGTGATAAAGGAATCTTTAGTTCTGTTAGTAAATCACATTATTCAGGTTCATTAGCCAAAATGTTCAGTACCTTCCTGCAATAACCGTTTGTCATTTTTTCAACATTAGTGAGGAGAATGAACCACTTTCACACTGACAGACATTAGCCTAATTGTTACGTAAACACAAAGTTTAAACACACTTGTTTTATCAAGCTACAGTTGTTTTGATGCATCTATTTATTTGCATTATTATGTGCCTTCTTCTGTCAGGATCATATATCTACAACATACATATTTGACAACAAGGAAATTACCTTGCTGCAGAACCGTGAAGATCCGGTGTAGAATAGGTAACCCATGCTTGCCATAAAAGGCTACTGTGCTTGTCATAAGAGGCGACTAACGGGATCGGGTGGTCAGGCTCGCTAACAGTAACATGGTTGATCATGTTGATGCATGTCATCGATCTCAATTGCGTGGATCGATGCTCATGATGTCAGTCACTGGATTGTCTGGTTCTGACTTGATTATTTACAGACCGCCGTCAAATAGCTGGAATATTGCTGAGTGCAGCATTAAACAACAAACCAACCAACCAACACATTTGTTTCCTCTTTTTGAAGTCTTTGTTTGAAGTGTCGCAACTGAACTGTCATTGATCATTTTCCTCATTCATGTGCCATCTGAAAACATATTTCAAGCACAACAAATACAATAATCAATAATGTGTCGTGCCTACCAGGCTATAGCTATTAGAATTGAATTCATATGAGCCAAGAAACTTTTTAGATTCAAATACTCCTCAGTGAACACACTGAGAACAAAGTCAGGGATCAATTTTAAATAACAATGATGATACCTTTGATCGACATTCAGCATCCAAGGTACATCTGTTCAAGCCTGATATATACTGGGTTGGTTTGACAATACTGCTTATATGTATTTAATTTTATGTTAAAAGTTGAGTTACAATAAACTACGGTTATAACGAACTCAAAGGAACCACTGATTTTAGTTTGTTATGACCGCACTTTGTTATTAGCATATATACAGCAAATGGACGGGACGAAAAAGCAGTTGCTATATCACAGGGTTTCAGATGGCCCTCAGTCACCGGTCATAGACCGATAAACTTTCTATTTGACCGATGGTTTGTTTAAGTTGTCAGACTTTTGACTGATAGAAATGCTAAGCAAGGCGTCACACGTGTCATAATTTCATGATTAAATAGTAAATAGTAAGGATTATTCCACTTAGGGTATCGATTTGGAGCCATCGATTTTGATGCTCTCATAAAGTATAGTGCCAATCAAGACTCAGTTGTCCTTGTGTCTGGGGGATGGGGGTGAAGTTGATGGCAGTATTGCTCCCAGACCCGGTGGGTAGCCGGGTGTGCGGAAGCTATGCCCGATTTTTTAAATCCGGCATCCGGCATCTTTGTTTAAGTGACTTACTGACTTTTGCCACTGACTTCTTAAATTTCTTGGGTCCAAGTCATTGACCTGTATACAGCTTTTTGTGTCAGTATCACTGTATCCATCAGTTCATTATAAGCATGTTTGTTATAAAGGTAGTTTTCTGTACTTGTGAAAGCACCAACTGTTAGCCACCATGTATTCACACATTTTCCTTACTATTTCTGATGTGCAATGATGTTCCACTGTAAATTGTTGCTGTATGTATGGGTTAGAGCACGAATACTTGTTGTTCAATGGTTAGCGCCAAGGACTCATTAACTAACCATTTCAATGATTAGACACCAGGTCTAAGTGCTAACCTGGTTAAACCATGGCCATCATTCAAGGAAGCTTAGCACCTAAAATGTCTAAACAACATTGTTTTTATGACTGTATTTGAAAAGACATTTAACAACTCCATGCTGAACTGTAAGAAAACTGTGTGTGTCTCTGCCTGATGCTGTCATAGCGACTGATTACGACACCCATTGTCTGAAGAACATTTAATTGCAAAGGCTCATTACCCTGGAGCCATGACATCTATATGCCTTGAAACACTTAATTGCTGTTATTCATAAGATGCTAATCCTAATTGTTAATCCCCATTTTTGTGTACTTAGCCTAGCTAGGGTTAGGGTAAGACCTTTCTTCTCTCTTTCTTCAATCTCTCTGGACCAAGGCTTATATAGCCAAGGTCACCTGACATTTAGTAAGTAATAAATATAAATGTAAACAGTAATTCATCAGCAGGATGGCAGATGGTTGATGTACACAAACATGGGGATTAACAATTAGGATTAGCATCTTATGAATAACAGCAATTAAGTGTTTCAAGGCATATAGATGTCATGGCTCCAGGGTAATGAGCCTTTGCAATTAAATGTTCTTCAGACAATGGGTGTCGTAAATCAGTCGCTATGACAATGCACATGGAATATGTTCCCTGTGCCTTGGACATGTCGCTCTTTGGCAACTTAGCTTATGAAATGCATGTCCTGGGGCAAGTATACAATTCTATTGGAACAACCAGAACACATTTATTAATCGCATAAATATTATATGCCTATGTTGATGGGCCCATTATGAGCAATCATAGCCCTGATCAAGAAAAGAGCAGTTTTAACGAAAAGCTACTAAATCACACATGTTGAAAGAAAAGAATAACATACTGAATAAAATAAAATTTATACCAGTTCGTTAACGGATGAACTTGTTCGTCTTGATATAGTATGTCATTGTTAATTCCATGGTTTCTTCCATCAAGGTATATTAAAGGTAAAAAGAAGTTCAACCATTGCCAATGCTGTTTATCTGACAATTCTGTCAGGTAAAGCATGGCCAAAGACATAGGTGCCATGGTTTTGGTCAAGTCTTTAATGCTCAAAGTCTTGTGTATTTTCAGGTAGCAAGACAGGAAGTCAGGAGCTCTCCTTCAACTTCCTGCGCAATGAGCTTCCCGTGAGGATGGCTAATATCATGAAGGAGATCAACCATCTACCTGACAACCTCCTGCAGATGCCCTCAGTCTCTCTCGTCATGAGTTGGTGAGCACATCCATACACACGTGGACATGCTGTAAAACATTTCAGAGTGAAAATCTGTTTGGTACACAATTTGTGGCATGAATTGCTCATGACGTTAACCACTGCTCTGCCTGACAGGTTTGATTACTGTAAAGTAATCATAGCCCTGGAATAACACTAACTGTGGTATACAAAATTCACTTTCACTATATCACTATTTTCAGTTTACATGTTTTTTGTTGACACCACTATTGGAAATTTATCATGTTAATTGTGATCATTGATCACTGATTATCATTTTCCTGTTATTGCTCAAGACCGCCTCCCTGGTCTAGTGGTAGAGCGTCCGCCCGGAGAGCGGAAGGTCCGGGGTTCGATCCCCGCCCGCGTCATACTAAAAGACGTTAAAAGATGGTACTTGTTGTTACCCTGTCTCGCGCTCGGCATTAAGGGGCTAAAACAAGGACTGGTCAGTATACTGTGTCTGAGTGGGGTATTCATGTTAAACTGCGGCATGGTATCTCAGTGAGCTAGCACTATAAATCGGCATCAGTCCGGACTAGTACAAGCAGCCCCCCCCCCCCCAACACACACACACGCGTTATACCAAAAGATGTTTAAATCAAGGTACTTGTTGTTTCCCTGTCTGGTGCTTGGGTATTCATGTTAATCTGCGGTATGGTATCTCAGTGGGCAAGCACTATAAATCAGCACCAGTCCGGACTAGTACAAGCAGCCACACGCCAACATGCATGCACTATATAAGTGCAATAATCTTTGACGCGATGTTAAACCCCATTTCACCTCAGACCCGTGAAGATTCCAGGGTAGAATAGGTCTTCAGCAACCCATGCTTGCCGTAAAGGGTGACTATGCATGTCGTAAAAGGCGACTAACGGGATCGTGTGGTCAGGCTCGCTGACTTGGTTGATGCATGTCATCGATCCCAATTGCGTGGATCGATGCTCATGATATTAATCACTGGATTGTCTGGTCCAGACTCGATTATTTACAGACCGCCGTCATATAGCTGGAATATTGCTGAGTGCGGCGTCAAACAACAAACCAACCAACCAACCATTTCACCTCACCTGTTATTGCTCAATCATTGATTATAATTAGTTACTGTTATTGTGGATACGTTTCAGGGTTTACTTCTCAGAACACTTGTATTTATCATTATTTGATTAGACAAAAGATTCATAAATGCTAATATCATGAATATGAGCTTGATTGTCAATGAACTATAAGTGAATATGTTTATAGGTACTCATTCATAGATTTTATGAATGGATGAATATTCAGAATAACAATAGGTTTGACAACTTCATTGTCTACATACATACATGTTCATAAGCATTCAATATTATTTATGAAATAATTTGTTTTATTATTTGAACTTGACTGACCATTGATTATGATTGACTGGTGACAGCTAACTGCTCCTTGTGTTATGTTTACCAATCTTGAAACACATGAGACATACAGATAGAACTTGAAGCCCTAGTTGGAGGTGGATTGGCATCTGGAGTGTTTGTTGAAACAATTTAACAATCACATGTATACTGCATGCTGTCAGGGATTATCCAGGATTCTGAACTAAGTGCCACTGGCAGGCAATTTTGGGAAAATATCTCTATTTTGCTCAAATTGGTCAGGGACATGTATTCAAGAGTAGGCCTAGATGAATCCTGGCAAATATACAGCCCTTAGATACATTCCACCCATGAGTATTTGCACTCCAACCAAGTCTGGTGACTTGATCAAGCCAATGGGAGTTTCAACATTCGTAAGGTCACTTTGTTAAACAGGCCCTCCCTGTCTGTTGTAACTGTTTCCTGTCTATACTCCATAGCAGCGTAAGACTTGCTCTGTCAGAAATTCATCTTTGACATGTAGCTTGGGATGTCATGTTGTGGAAGACATGTTGCTAATTGATGCAGGGGAATGAATGATGCAATACCCTGCATCAGATGGATGCGAGTAGCTAGGGGCTGCAGCAGTAGTATTGATCTGCCAGTCCTGAAGTACTGACAAGATAAAACAGGGGTCATCAAGAGTCTGTCCATACAACATTGTCACCGTGTCACCTGTGTTTTTCCCTTGTCTCTTCTATCAACTACTGCATGCGGTTGACACATGTGGTTTACTGGCTGTGTCACCTGTGGGTAAAATCAATAAATGATGAGCTGCCCTTGGGTAGTTGAAGGAGTGATGACATGATCCCATCTTCGTATATCAATTAGTTTTTGTCTAGCAGTGCGACAACCCTACGGAATAGGGCTACCTCAAGGTATTTGATCAAACATTTTCAGACACATGCGTCGTAATGGAACAGTTTAGATGAAATGGAAATGTTAAATTGGTACTTGGGAAATGTTTTGAGTGTCACACTCATGTAGGTCAAGGTCCTTTAAGTCACATTGATTGTGTGCTTGGTTGCTTACCATGCTTACCTGGAACTTAAAGTAAATGTTGGCAGTTGGGATATTTCTTCTGAAAGGGGACAGCCAATTAATAATTAAAATCAGCTGATTTGGTTATCTTGATTACATTAAACTTTTCAAGAATGATCCCAGAAATGGTGTGTTTAATAAGTGAACACATTCAGTTGATCATTGTAAGTTGGTTTTTAAACATGACAGCCATTTAAAGAATATAATTTCTTGTGCATCATCATGATTATTGTATGATTTCACAAGGAGCAAAATATCCCCCCCCCTCCCCCCCTTATTATCATTTGAAGTTTATGTTTGTGAAAATTATGCAATGTAAGATATTTCTTCTTTGGGTATGCAGACATTATATTTTGTTATGCTTTGGTGTTATTGTTTGGCCAAGTAGATGTGTCCCTGCCAACTCAACCTGTCAACAACTTAGGCATGTGATGCTTCACAGATGCATCCTTGCTACATGGATTGGGTCACATGCTCCATGCAGTGTATTATTTATCGGTTCATGAAATAATTCTTTATTAATTTTCAAACAAAAATGTCACACAAGCATGATCTTGCACCTGTCACCAGACAAAATGTTACGGTACATGAACTAGTCTTGTGAGTTATGTACACGCTGGGACAAGCTGGTACAAGCTGGTACAAGCTGGGACAAGCTGGTACAAGCTGGTACAAGCTGGTACAAGCTCTTAGCTGGGCTGCATTCAATTGCGAAAATTTCACTCAAAATTGGCACAGATTACATACAAATTACGCTTACACGAGGTTGGCATAGCATGGCACCCCTAGCATCGTGTCTAGTTAGTGAACCTAATACAGATAGATGGGGCATTATTATCTCTTTACAGTCCGTCCTATAGTTGTGGCCATCAGCAGTGACACAAGCAATTACGACCAAAAGGGCTGTGACATGAGCGAATCAGGTTACGATTACAGGACTCAAAGTTGCAACTAAAACGGTCGCCAATGCAACCTAAATTTCAGAGGTAGCCAAATGACTACATTAAAAAATATCTTGTGGCCACTAAATTCTATTGCTACACATATGTAGACACAAAGATAAACATGTCTGCTACTAACTAATTGTACTCGCAAATAATTCCTCCTAAAGTCAACAATGAACCGAAATGCATAAATATTAATGTAATTAGTATTTTATTTTAGTTGATAGTTTATTGGATAAGCAAGGATATACCTATATAATCTAGTAACATAAATTGCATCATTGTTGGAGTCACAAATAACAAAACTCAAGTACAGCATGTACAGTTTCCACTGATATACAATTCCAAGACTAGTGCTATAACTTGTATATATAATAGTTATTTGATAAAAGATAATTTCAAATGCTTTTGGCTACCTATAATATTGGCTCGACTTCTTGATTTTACCACTGGCTACCTGGAATAAAATACTTGTAGCCATATTGCTACATGGTAAAAATTTAATCTTTTGAGGCCTGGATTAAAATTACCATAAGACGGCCCGTAAAATGTGCATGTTTGCTGTTCCTCCTACTGTTGTGCCCCCCTCCTTTCAAGATGTCAACTTGTACACATAACCATGATAACAACATGATTGTTTTACATTGAGGGGAATAAAAATAACAAACAGCAGATATTGTTGGGTACGGGGTATTCATTGCCAGGTACCATATTAACATTTAATAGACTATACCTGATTTTGAGTTATTTTTCAATTCATTGTTCTCATTTGGAGCCAAACGGTATGTACCTATGACAGGGACGAGGGATGCATAAAATCACTTGTCATACCTCCATGTTAGTATGACGAGATCTAATTGAACCAGATGATCTTGATAAGAAGCTATGTATCCTGCCTGTGAGGGAAATAGATTTCTGAGAGGGAAAAAAATCCCTTGTATGCCGTCATGATGAAATAAGGCTGCACATGGATTTCTCAGTGGGAGAATAAATCCCTTATGCCCTGCTTCGATGCCAAAAGCTGCACACTTTTTCCGAGCAAATGAAAGTCACGTGACAAAGCACAAGTCAATTATGGACACTTTTTGTGAATCATTGCATCAGTAGAGGGTAGTTGCTATATCATTCATTATAGCTAAAATGGATATAATTATTATTAAACCGCCCGCATGTTATCAGAAATGAGCGGGCCACTGTAACTTGATAATGTCCTCATACTGTTTGATGACGGGCCATTATCACGCCTGTTGTTAGATGACGTCATAGGATAGGGATAGGTGACGTCACGTTCAACAGTGACGTCATCTGGTTTGTTCTATGATGTTTCCATATTTGTAAAAGTGGACCAGTGACATGTTGATTGCAGTAAATGTTTCAAAACCGATATTGTTGTTTCTTTTTATTTGATAACAAATTCCATCAATTTTAGCTATAATAACGGTAACGCTCTTTTTCAGGGCATTATCATTTGCAGAAGCCCTCGGGCAGTTGATGGAAAACCTCGGGAAAAATAGCGTTACCCTTATATTATCATCCCAAACTGGCTCCCACAGGAGATATTGCTGCAATAAAATTACATCACAGTGCTTTGTAGACCATTGTGACGTCATTGGTTACCATGATGTCACAATCAAATGACATCACTAATGGCTCTGCTACTTCAGCTGTTAGCAGTATATTTCTTACCCTTAATACTTAATATTACTGTCCACAAACTTAAAAAGTTGGAAGACTGATGTTGGATGATGAATAGAATCTCACCCTTGTGTCTTTTGATATGAAGTATATCAAAACTCGTCGATAAACAATGATAAAAGTTTAAAAATCCTTGGCAAGTTATTCTGGGAGTTTTAGGGCTGTCAAAAGACACTTGGGGGAAATTCTCAATTTATGATTGATCGGTAAGTTGATGAGTCTGAAAGTTGTCTCATTTCCTTTTTCTAATGTTGCAGGTATGAACAGAGTTTTAAGGAGCTACTTCACTTTGAAGAAAACAACACGAGTGACAAGTCACTTACTGAGTAAGTTGTTCCCAGATGTTGTTCCGAATGTCTTGTTTTACACCGCAGTCAGCAACATGTCAGCTATGGTATGGATTCCTTTACTTATTTGAGTCTGGACCAGATAGTCCAGTGATTGATATCATGAGCACTTGTCAACGTCAGGGCACATTAGCAATTATCAGCTATGTCATTGATCCTGAGACTTCAAGTTCATTTACTTCCGCAGTGTCCGACAGCCAAGGGACATTACTCCCTACATAGACTCACTCTGCGTTCCGCTAAAACACCTATGTTACCCGCTAAAATACCATTCTGACAAAATTACTTTGTACTAAGACATCAATGGCACTGTATTCAATGTGAAAACTATCAAGGAACTAGTTCTTCTCCATCTCATGTCTAAACTAGCATGATATAACTGGTTGAAGAATCCATGAAGATCCTGGGTAGAATAGGTCTTCAGCAACCCATGCTTGCTGTAAAAGGCAATATACAATTTAGTATGTCGTAAGAGGCAACTAACAGGATCGGTTGGTCAGACTCACTGGCTTGGTTGATGCATGTCATCGTATCCCAATTGGGTGAATCCATGCTCATGATGACAATCACTGGATTGTCTGTTCCAGACTTGATTGTCTCAGACTGCCATCATATATATGGAATATTGCTGAGTGCGGTGTTAAACAACAAACAAACAAGAGAGGGCCAAGAGACTAAGTTAGTATTCAGCATTTTAGATATCCACATTTGAGTCTTTATTCCCGGCATCTACAGCTACATCATGAGTACATTGACAGTTGTGGGTTCATTTACAAGTGTATATTTACAGTAAAATGGAATGCTTTGTTTCAGCTTCACAGACACACTGACACATATACGGAATCGTCATGCCAACGTGGTGGAAACTATGGCTCAGGTATTTATGATGATCTGTTACCATGGTTACTGCCAACACCTGCCTTCATACACCTGTGATTAGGGTGGTAGCAATATTGATAGAAGAGGTACGCTGCTTCACCAGCTTAATGCACGATGACATTGGTCAGGTGCAGGAGCCATGTCACATGACATGATAAAACATTAGTTAATACGATTCAATCTACACAGACCTTTTTATCCCCTGTTTTGAGTAAAGGGGGAAAAAAGCAATCAGCATGTCCGTCAGCCGCCTATTTTCCATTTCTAGAGCCGAACTCCTAAATGAATTGAATATTTCTTTTTGAAACTTGCCATACAGATTAGTCTAGTGGTGAACTGGTGCCTTTTGATGATTTTGTATATTTATTGTTATCCCCACAGTATATAATGCGAGGGGATATGTTATCATCTGGTCTGTCTGTCTATCCGTCTGCCTGTCCGTACTTCCTCTAGAGCAAAACTTGAAGTGGTACCATTTGCTATTGTGGGGGCTGGGGGGATTTGTCATCTTCTGATGACTCTTGTTTATGGTTTTTGTTGTTTTCATGAAGACAAGTTGTATTTTACTGAAAATGAGGGTAGGGCTCCTTTCCGGAGCAGAACTCCAAACCATTAAATATTACTGTATGAAACTTGCTTTGCAGATCGTTCTAGTTGTAAACTGGTGCCTTTTTGTGATCTGGGATAATGAAAAATACTGAACACATTTCTTTCTTACTCACTGCACTGAATGGCAATGAACCAAAAGTGGGGTATAAGTAGCCGAACTCCATTTCCGAATTACACCAGACTGGGGGAATATGTCATCTCCCGACGACTCTTGTCATGATTGTGAATGTTTGACAGGGTATCATAGAGCTGAAGGATACGTATGGAGTAGACAGCAACACCAACAACCGCATCCAATATTTCCTGGACCGATTCTACATGAGCAGGATCAGCATCAGGATGCTCATCAATCAGCACAGTGAGTAAAGGACAAGACAAGCCTTGGATAACAGCTGTCTGTCATACTTAAACATACTGAGATCACTTTGTGGAACATGCCCACTATCTAACTCAAGCTGAACAATGTTGAATGATTCTTAGACAAGTTGTTCCTTGCTTCTTTGTTTGAGTCCCTCATCTGTGCAAGAATTGCCAAAATTGCAAATAACCAGCATTAGTTTTAAGAATTATTTTTTTTAAAAATTGAGACATATTTTATATCATTGCCTTGAATGCAATAGTATTTAAATATGTGCTGCCTGGTAAGGCTTAAAAAAATTATAGAATTGGTTCTCAGGCAATGGCTTTTTAAATTATTTGGCGGGTGGTGGTTTTGTTTTGTTTTTGGTTGTTCAAGCTAGTATGTAATGAAATTTTGTTTACAATTATTTTTGGGAAATCATGCTCTTAGGTACTGTAGCATGTAACTGCCGAGGTTGTGTGTTCGAGACACTGAATATGTAAAGATTATTTTCTTTTTTTGAAAATGGAAATAAGAACAAAACATATGGCAGACTTTATGATGATGCAGGCGGTGCCTGAGAACCAAGACTATTATTGTTTTTAGCCTAATGCTTTTTCTCTTTATTGTTACTGTACTCATTGAAGCACAGGTCTCTCAAAGCATGCCAAGTACAATGGCAATGACTGTAGTGATGAATGTTTTATTACATATATCAGTTCCAACATTACCATGATAACGTGTTGTTTTCAGCTCTGTTATTTGGCTCTCAACTTGCCAACCCACGACATATAGGCTGCATCGACCCCAGTTGCAATGTGTTGGATGTTGTGCAGGGTAAGACCAGACATTACTTCAGAAACATGTCCTCGTGGACACAATCATTCTCAGTAGCATTGGGGTCACGGGTAGATCAAGACACCACAATTAGCTGTGCAGAGTTGCCTCCCTTGGACATGCCAGAAACATGTGGGTTCGAATCCCTGTTTGCCTCAATTATAATTTGGTTTTGTCAGGACCATACCAGTGCTCGTGGGTAATCCACCAAAGTGGGAAACCTGTGAGACCGGCATCACTTCAGGATTTCCTCCCTCATTAAGCTGACACACCGTAATATGACTGGAATACTGTTAAAAGCGACGTTAAACCTAACTCACTCACCTAGTGCCAGTCGTTGTCTTTGAAAGAAATTAGGATTAAATATGAATGATCAAAGTTATCAAATTTATGTTTGTTGGTAATTAATTGTTTTGTTCCTGTTGTATATGTGGTGAATACTTAATATTAATACGTGAATATTAAGTTGTGTGATTAATGGAAGTTTTGAAGTTATTTTTTTTTATCGTTCTGAGTTGTGTGTTTTGGTTCCAGATGCGTATGAGAATGCTCGATTTCTCTGTGACCAGTACTACCTCATCTCACCGGAAGTGGAAATTATAACGAAAAATCGTAAGATGAATTAAATTATCTCGGTCAGATGTATTAATAGTAGTTACATTCATTTTGAAAAATATTGTTTGAAATCAGAACAGAGAGATAATTACATACATATTCTTTTGTTAACGATTTTGTAAGCAATTTGGAAGAGATACAGATATAATCTATGTGCTGTTACCTCATACAATTCCATGTTTTCAGCCCTGGAGAAGGAGTCAACAATCAATATGGTTTATGTACCCTCTCACCTCTATCACATGCTGTTTGAACTGTTTAAGGTGGGTCTGATGTCGTGCTGTGCATATTGTTGAGCTCTAGGGACAAGGAGGGAGAAAATAATTACAGTTTTCGACGTAATAAGTGCCCAGGGCGCTCTCAAAATTAGAAATAGGGGGCTCTTATTAGAATAAAATTATTTGAAAGATCGTAAATTTCGTGGTTTATGCTGACAGCCTGAAATGATACAGAAGAAAAGTCTGTGTATTATACACGACAGATATATTTTTCCAGAATTTAATTGCCCATAATTAAGGGTGCATATAACACACGAGTGCGTACAATACACGAATAAATAAGTCTTGTGTACATTGATCAATCGGAAGGAATTGGGATTGTTCACAAGCCAATAAATTAGCAAATATTGCCGTAGGCGCTTATTAGAGCGGGGCACTTATTACGTGGAATATGGTAATGCATTGTCAAGACCTGAATTAAGAGTACACAGTTGAAATAGCGTTGAGAAGAACCTCGATTTAGAAACAGTTGGCTCATTGTTGTCATCCAATGTTTGCAAGCTAGGTCGGACTCACAGAATAAATGAAAGTCATAAACGTCATGACCACAGGGATATAAGTTAGACAGCTGACTGAATAGGACCACCTCCATTGTGTAGTGGGAAGAGCATCTGCCCAGATCAGAAGGCCAGTGTTTCAATCCCCATGCTGCATCATACCAGAAGACGTAAAGTGGTGGTACTTGTTTCCCTGTCTGGTGCTCAGCATTAAGGGGACAAAACAAGGACAGGTTGGCTTGGAGTCAGTATGTGTATCATGTTAAACTGGGGCATGGTATCTCAGTTGGCTAGCATTATTACTCCTGTCCAGCACAAGCAGCCACTCATGCCACCTCACCTTTGCCTAAATGAAGAAGAGGTTGTACATGGGCAAATATTTTAGGGTACAAGGAAGAGAATTTATGGATGTCAACTTCTTTATTTAAGAATTGACTTTCACTTTGGGTTAGTTCATTGAAGTATGAACCTTGTAAGAGTGAGGGCCAAACTGTATGAACGTCTGAGCTTGCGGTGATGTTCATACAATGTTTGGCCCTCACTTTATGCAGGTTCATATTCCATTGAACTCACACAAAGTGAAAGTCAATTCTTACATTTTTTTATATCACTACTTTTATCTCAAAGGACGTAGACCTTGTTCTACACACAATTATATTTAGTATGTGTGACTTCATGTTTACACTGACAGCCATACAACAACCAACTGAATCTTGGAATAAAATAGTCCCTTAAAGAGGTGACATATGCTTATGTATGCTCAACATGATCAACGGGGACAACTTTTGTAGATACTTCAGAACAAATGAACTCAAATAATATCCTAATTAGATGAGAAAGGTTTGTTGAGGACTACCTCAGTAAGTCGGTCACAATGACTGCGCGTCGTAATACATTTACATCAAGTACAAGATGTCAAAATGGCCGACGCGATAAACGTGACAGGAGAGATTTCGGAAGTTGTTAATGAACCTGTGGCGGTGACATGTGTTAGTCATCATTGATCAACTGGCTAATCATTGAAAGGTGATTAAAGATGTGTCAAACAGACACTAAGGTAAATTCATTGATTGCTGTAGACTGTCACTGTCAGTCGAGACACGGGTCGAGTCAATACAACGATAGTTTGGGTGTGTATTTTTCTTTTTGTTCATTAGGATGGGTCGTAGAGAGGATATTTGTGAACGATCATGCAGTCAAACTCTCTGATGTTTCTCAATGTATACTTAAACGCGGAGTTCAAGATGAAAGGGTTTAAATGATCAGAAAGAATGCTTCTGTATGTATTCGTGCTAGCGAATTCTCAAGGGTTTCCCCAGGAATGTGGAAGTAGTCCGTTTGTGTGTACCTCATTTCAACAACACGGTCTTGTGAAAAACGTATGAACGTCAAATTGTGTTGTTTATACACTTATGAATGTCATTTCCACGGTCATGTGACCAACCTCTCGTCCAATGGAAAAGCTGTATATCATGTAAACTTCGAATTAAATTTTTTTTATGAGGAACACAACGTTTTGGCAGTATATATACTAACTCCTTCATCAGGTGAATGGTGGTACTTGTTTTTACCTTGTCTGGTGCTCAGCATATATCTGATGAAGAAGTTAGTATATATACTCCGAAACATTGTGTTCCCCATAATAAAGAAGTTTACATCCATAAATTCTCTTCCTCATTTTCTTATGTGTATCACTTCTAAATGCCGTTAAAAGACTTGATGTTTTTATATTACAGACAGAGAAATGATGTTAGCTGACTGATATTGTTTGCCTCTTGCAGAATGCCATGAGAGCTGTGGTGGAACACAGCCCCTCGGACGGCGAAGTACCCAAACTGAGTGTGATGATATCCAAGGGAAGTGAAGATCTGACAATCAGACTGTCGGATGTGGGTGGGGGTGTGCCCAGATCCAAGGTTGACCAGCTGTTCCAGTACATGTACTCCACAGCCCCCCAGCCTGACCGCTCGGGGGATGGGTCAGCACCACTGGTAGGTTTCCTCCAACCCTCCGTGGCATAGTGGTAGAGCGTCTGCCTGGAGAGCGGAAGGTCCGGTGTTTGATCCCCGGCCCCGTTTATATCAAAAGACGTTTAAAGATGGTACTTGTTGTTTCCCTGTCTGGTGCTTGGGTATTCATGTTAATCTGCGGTATGGTATCTCAGTGGGCTAGCACTATAAATCAGCATCAGTCTGGACTAGTACAAGCAGCCACACGCCAACGTGCATGCACTATAGAAGTGCAATAATCGTGGACAAGATGTTAAACCCCATTTCACCTCTGTGTGCTGTTCACAGCTGTACACTTCATGTACTATTGTCTTGCAAGTCTCTTAACATGTCGACCAGGGGCTTCCTCACTCACTTTTGAACACTTTATTGATATGGATTGTTATGAGGGATTGTTTTGAGCTGAATATGTGTGTGTGCTTGTGGATAATATTCCGGTTGTGTTGTGTTCCCAGGCTGGCTATGGGTATGGCCTACCTCTGTCCAGGCTCTATGCGCGATACTTCCAGGGGGACCTGGTACTCAATTCCGTGGAGGGATACGGGACTGATGCTGTCATATATCTTAAAGTATGTATCAAAGAGTGGACAGATAACAGTCAATTTTGTGAAGGTTTAATTGTATACATGTACATATGCATGCACGCGTACATACATACACACATACATGTTGACAGAACTGACAATCAGCCAAGTGTTACCACATAGTGTCTATTTTCTTGTCACGATATGCCGCATGTGGTTTCAAGACTTCACATGCTAATCATGTACGAGACATGGTGCATTTCGAGTCAAATATGACGTCACATGTGATGCGTTCATGAGCATCGCTTCACACTACATAACAGTATGTTCATTGTGAGGCAAACCAATCAAATGTCTCACGTTTCTTTTGTCGTTGAGTATATATATAAAGTATATATGCTCAGTGATCCATTGTTATTCCTCTAAGAGTTCCCTCCCCTGGCCTGCTCACCTGCATATTTCATGTCTAACTTCAGGTGTTATCAGATGAAGCCAACGAACACCTCCCTGTTTACAACAAGACAGCTTCTAAAGTGTACGAGACTGATATTCCCATCCATGACTGGAGCTCACCCTGGTCACCGGGTGGGGGGTCCGCCTCAAGAACATACACCACATGGGCTCGCAGCCTCTCCTGATCTCAGGGTTGGAGACACTGGTGGAAGAACCCAGTTGTCGGCAGGAACGATCTCTTGGTTGTGACTCGGTCACGTGTTTGATATGATGCTTCTTTCACAGGTGTTCTGTCTTTGTGGCTAGGTAGTAGCTTGTGATGCTAGGATGTAACAACATTATTATTCCATTTCTGGCGTTTATAGGTGTACAGTCCCTGTATTGATGTGCACTGAACACTGTTGAATAGGGTATGTTTTGTGTTTCAGAAGAAGAATTTGACAGGTGTTTTATTCAGATGGGTGGGGAAGTTGCCCATCTGTTTATAGAGATCCTCATTTATATTTTGAGAATTGAATTTTTAATGAAATGGAGTGTCCTCATGAACAGTAGCTGTGAATCAGAGGTTCCTCTTCTCGTTGTTCTGTGTGTCCAATATGAGTATGGACAAGGTTGAAGAATATGACTAATAAAATCATCATTCATATAGAACATTCTGTATCTAATGATGGTTCACTTGTACCAGGTTTGTCCTGCGTTGATACAAGTTGATAACAGTTCAACTCAGCCATGCATTGTACACGTTACACCTGGAATTGACGCTGAGCTTGATCAGGTTGCATGTGACCTTGCTGAACGCCTCCATATTTCTGTGATATTCTGTCCCCGAGCTTTATGCAGTCTTCTGTTGTGATTCAGGTTTTCTGTTTTCCTGACATCAATTCTTTGCAGAATGGTCCTTCCTTAATAACCATGTTCAGGCTTGCAGACAATACTGTGCCATCACATACACAATGCTGAAGATGTTGCATACGCAGCAGGAAGAACAATTACAGAACAACCACATCTTGAGAGGGAAGTTATTAGCTTCTCGAAACAAATGGCACGTTCCTGCCTCTGTGAAGAGTGATGAAATAAGTTACTCATAACACATGAGGTCTTGTTCTGTCAACTTCAAAATTCCAATGAAAGAATTTAAATGTTGAAACTTCCTGCTTGCTGTATATATACCACTGTTTAATCCAAAAGTGCAATATCATTGGCATATATCTTATTGGGCATAATACACGCTGCTGTAGTATTCATGTTTGTCCTCTTTTTAACCTTAGAACATCATCTCCGTAGGATAACAGAGAAGGTGGTCTCGTGGATGTATTGTTCACTTGTCACCTTCACCAGGTTCAGTTCCCTGTTTGGTGGGCAGTCAGTGAAGCCTGGTTTGGGCTTGCAACTGTTTTTAAATGAGAGCTATGCCACTGCATGTATCATTGTTTTAAAAACATGACCTGGAAACTATGTTTAGTTGTTTAAAAAACAATACTATTTTTAAACAATGTTTTAGAAAAAACTTGACTTTTTATTTGACTATTTGATTTAACGGAACACATTTAGAATCATTGTAACTGTCTACAGTACTATACTTGTGACAGTCTCCTATATTTTAACATGGACATGTGTCATGTATTTTAACTAAGACTTGAGACAGTCTCCCATACTTTAAGACAGACTTACGTCTGTCTCTTGTATTGTAACATAAAGTTGTGACAGCCTCCATCCTATGCTGTAACGGTGTGACAGTTGGACACGGATTGCTTTGTGACAGGGGTTTTGAAAACCGGTATGCTTCATTTTCAACAACTATTTTATATGTATTCAAAGTCACATCTCTACACAATGATTGAAGTCATTTGTGCCATTGTTCATTTGTATGGTTACCATGGTTACATTAGTGTTTGTGAGAATGTCATCATCCAACATGATTCACGTGTGATGTACATCATATGTCATTCCTATGATAAGATGTGTAACAGTTGTGGATTCAATCCAACAGTACCTTTCTACTGATACTATGGCAGCCGTCTAGTCCCTCAGCTGGGTCTGTTCTTGTTCACTTTTACTTAGTTTTATGTCATAACCAACTGGCTTTGTCTTGGTGTTAAAGTTGATGTGAGAAGGCCATTTGAAATGAGTGTGATGTTTTATTAGTATAATATGATCACACATGGATATTTTCAATGAGAATAAATATTTTAGTGGACTACTGCTTGCCTTGTGTTTATATTACTAGTGTCACACCTCCTCTTAAGTAATGATGCAAGATTTGTTTGAAAACATGTACAGTAAACTATGGTTATAACAAACTCAAAGGTACCACTGATATTAGTTCGATATAACCATAGTTCGTTATAAGCATATATACAGCAAATGGCTGCATGGGACCCAAAAATATGTTATTAACATAGTTTACTGTATTTTGCACTTTCGGTATGATTTGACACATTTAGACTTTGGTTAGTGAAAACATACTATTGGTTGGTTGGTGGGTTGGTTGTTTGGTTGATTGATGTTTAACACCATATGACGGTGGTCTGTAAATAATCGAGTCTGGACCAGACAATCCAGTGACTGACATTCACAACTGGGATACAATGAAATGCATCAACCTAGTCAGCAAGCCTGACCACCGGATCCTGTTGGTCGCCTCTTACAAGCATAGTTGCCTTTTGTGGCAAACACTGGTTGCTGAAGACCTATTCTCTACCTGTATCTTCATGGTCAAAAACATAGACACTGATACAAACAATTAAATATCCTCTTTTATGGCATGCATAAATTACACCGTGATGCATTGTTTTTCAAGGTAGAAGAAAAAACGTGTATCAAGGTAAAAAAACAACAACGTATTTAGCAAGAAAGAATAAAAACGTTTATCAAGAAAGCAGAAAAACGTTATCAAGATAGAAGACAAGTATATCCAGATACAATACAAACGTTTACCAAGGTACAATAAAAACATTTATAAGATACAATAGAAACTTATCAAGACACAAAATGAAAACGTTTATCAAGACACAATACAAATATTATCACGATGTATACAATAAATTGAGGTTTATCACGCGAGTGTTTTGGGATGGTAAATATCCTAGAATAAACATTGTATTTGGCGAACTAAATCGATATTGTTTATTCCTAATACAGGATATTTACCACCCCAAAGCACACAAGCGTGATAACATCTTTATCATGTAATATCAAGTTTTAACCTTATCCTATCTCATATTTCTCCTTTCGATCTTGGTGGGGAAACGCCCTAGAACAAAGTTTCCAGCTTCAGAAAACATTTCACCCGAACACATCCCGGCTTCACCATGGTCACCACCTGCACAGATTATGGAAAACTGATCCCGCTCGGCCTGTGTCCTCGCAAAATCGCTTATCTCCGACCAAAGTTGCCAAAGTTGTAAGATGTCTCGCCTACGTCCAAGTTAGACACTGATTTTCAGTATGTTAGACTATTGTTTTGCTAATGATTACAGTTATAACAGTAGTTACTTCTTATTACCGATGGTCATTTCTGGATCGATCGCCGATTAACAAGGGCGATGCCATGTTTATTTGTAAACACTGAAAGTAGTTCCTACAAGACCTTTCATATTTCCATCTTTATCCGTATTGTCCCCAACAAGTACCGTTTTTATCCGTTGGCTTAATCTTGCCGAGAATCCAACAAATTATCATAAAAACGTTCATCAAGAAACAAGAAAGACGTTTATCAAGAAACAAAGAAGTTTATCAAGAAACAAGAAAGAGGTTTATCAAGAAACAAGAAAGAGGTTTATCAAGAAACAAGAAAGAAGTTTATCAAGAAACAAGAAAGAAGTTTATCAAGAAACAAAGAAGTTTATCAAGAAACAAGAAAGAAGTTGATCAAGAAACAAGAAACACGTGATATGCTTATGAAGAAAGTTACCAAAATATGTAAAACATAAAACAAGGTGGACATTATCTTTCAGTTTAGCCTGCAGAACAAAACTTGATGACGTTGCAACATAATATCGTGAAATGGTCCGAGTACAGGAGGCATCAAGCATGTGATTCTCTGGGGAGTTTTCCAGAAAATTATCCCGTCTCTAAAACAACCCAAAGCATGACCACAACATTAATGCTTCTAATAAATTATATTGATACAGATGAACACTGAACTCACTGACACTTAGATGTATAAATAATATTGACAACTTTTACGAACCTCTTAATACCGACGTCACCAGTCACAGTTACACTTAATGCACCAATTTTGAAAAGGTTTGGTAAGGAAAAACCTGTTTAACTGTTAACAAATAATACTTCCCTGCTTCATATTGTGTGTTTGATGTCTTGAGCTGTTTTGAAACGTAAAGAATTGATGGAGTATTAGAGTTGTAAATAATCAGAGATACCTTTTAGAGATTATTACACGCGCATGTGTATTATACTGATTTTACGAAATGAGTGTCAGAAGCGAGTTTCCCGAGCGAGGGCAACGGTAATACATGGATTCTTACACGATTTAAATACAATCAGTATGACGTACATGTGAGTGTAATACTGTCCTTATCACTTATTATGTCTTAATCCGTTTGAGCTCGCCTTTAGAAAAATGCACAGATCACGACCGCCGTCTTTGAAATAAACAGTTTTCGAATGACGTCAACAATCTTCTTCTGGTGTGACATCATTCCGGCCTTGCGTCACAATTAGGTTCGAATAACACCAACAACGCCGTCCGGATGACGTAATCAATACACTGGTTGGTGTTTCTGTTGCTTGGGAATTTGAATCTAAAATACAAATGAATTGTACAATAAGCTGTGTTTTTATTATCTTTTGATATATCGATTCGTGTTGATATGTTTGTCGTCTAAAAATACTACTGTGAGCTTCTCTGTCTACTCTGAAATCACAGACATGGAACATTCAAAGCCTGTACAACGCCATGGTGCATGGCGGTTCATTCACGAAGTTATTAATCATGTTTTCGCTGAGCATAAATAATACTTAAACTGCAGTTTGTAACGTTATGTGGCTGCCTCGAAGGTTAGTAAATCAGCTCCCTACACATGTTATTAAGCCTTTCTTTTTTCTCATAATGTCATGATAATAAAGACGGACATTTGATTGTCATTGGTTTACGTGTGGATTCTTGTGATCGTTCTATAATATTCGCCTGTCCATTTAACACTAGAAATTATATGCATGTTCAAAATCATAACTGAATCTCAAGTAAGGATTGACTGTGGATCCTTTCGGTTCATTGAGGTATGAATCGAAAAACCGATGTTCAAACATTTGTAAGAATCGACAACGGAAACTATCGTTATCTTCAATCATTTAACCCAAAACAGTTGTATATATCCAAGCAGACAAAAATGACGACATTGATAACATTCTAGGTGTAGGAATACATACTTTGGGTGAACTAAATCAGGTGATTGTTTAATTTATGCACATAAAGCAAATCAATGGAAAGTAGGATCAAAATATAGTTATAGGACCTGTCAATCAAGGCAAGAGGCGGGACAACTGCAACAGTCAGACTGTAACGAAACTGAACAACTATGTCACAGAGAAGGCGGCTGTTTCAAATGACATGTTCAGTTACCGCCAGATTCAAACATTAGTTCCCTGAAAACGGGAAGACAAAGTTGAAAAAAGGCGGGTTAGAAATGAAACCCGAAGACTTGAAATTTGTGGAACCCAGGCGAGCGGGGGAAAAAATGGCCAGAGAGCCTGCACGTTTGCTGTTTCATTCCTTCTCGGCTTTTTGTCTCAAAGGATAGTTTGGACAATGGAGATGCATGGATTTCGCTGAAAATCCTGTGCATGACGATACACGTGAGCAGCAAGGAAATTCCCGCTTTCTGTTGAAATAAAATAGTCCACTTCGGTGGGCGAGGCTTAAAGTTTCTTAGGGAAATATATGCAATAACACCTGACCACTTCAGTTTATCAGAATGCAGGAATTACAATGAACATGACGAAAATCTAAATATTTAAGAATTGACCTTCACTTTGTGTGAGTTCATTGGAGTATGAACCTTCATAGAGTGAGGGCCAAACTGTATAAACGTCGGAGCTTGCGACCGACCTCTCGTCCAATGGAAAAGCCGTGTATCGTATTAGCGTCAAATTATAAAATTGTTGCCAATTAATATCAATTCTGGTTCAAAAACTGAGTAATAAAATAGTTGTATGGGTTTTTATTACTCTCTGGGTTGGAAATAACCGAGTTCATAAAGACCAAATGTGCACTCGTGCAAATATTACTTCACGATAACCATTGTTTTATTTACGTCATCCGGACGGCATTGTTGATGCCATTCGAAGGACGTAAGGCCGAAATAACGTCATACTAGAAACGAAGATTGAAGATTGTTGACGTTATTAGAAATTTGTGGTTTTCTAAGACGGCGGTCGTGATCAGTGCATTTTTCAAAAGGCGACCTCAAAAGGATTAAAAAATAATGGGTAATAAAGAAATTATTACACTTGCATGTGTGTCGTCCCGATTGCACGAAACTCGATTCATGCATTACCCTCGCTCTCGCTCGGGACATACAAGAATTCTTACACGCGTAAAATCAGTATGAAACACATGCTCGTAAAATAATATCTATTCATGACTTCTTCCGGTGAAGGAGGCCTGATAATCGGAGCTACTCAACAAACCCACGAGGAGACCCTGCAACTCCAGTAGTTATTCATCTCAACTTCATTTCAGAGCTGAAAATGTCTCGTTGGCGGCTCCAAACCCTGCGGATGCGTTGCTACAAATAGAACTGCCGGTGACGAAAATGCCACTTTCACCCAGTGGACTGTGGTCAAACTTCTGGTCTTCTCGACATGGTAGTTTCTGTTGTGTGAAATTTCTGCCACTTTGTTGCGAACGCCTTTCTCCTTCCTTGTTGCCTTGAAGTCGTAAGCAGACCAGCTGAAAATTAAATCAACTTTTCAGTTATCCTATATCCTAGCATTTGTATTTTTTAGATTTCGTCGTTGAGTGAGTGAATTGGGCAACGCCACACAGAACAGTATTTCAGTTATATCACAGGCTACTGGCTTCATGTGAACAGAAAGCCGGACGTGAAGCATGTATTGGGAATTGTAACGTTAGTGAAACCCACGAACACGGGTATAGGGCTACCAAATCTGGAAACAATCAGGCCTACCCATGATGAAACCTTTCTGGCATGCCAAAGGGGTGCAACTATACAT